TCATAACTTCTTTCCGCATTGAGTGATAATCCGTGGTGAGTTCAGGATTCCCTGGCAGTGGCGGAAGGGAGTGGGGGAGGGGGCAACAGTCTGAAAGCTCTCGGACAAGCAGAATAAATGTTGTATATTTCAAGAGCTGAGTTTTCTGCCGGGAAGGAGGCACATTTTCTTTGCATACTCCATGCGTTTTAAGATATGCCAGGTTGGGTTTTGTTGAGTGGTAGGGGGTTGGTAGGGCACGCCTCCCCCCCCCAAAAAAAAAAATTAGCCATGCTGTCATGCAGCAGGTTAGAAATTTGTTTTTAAACCCACTGCATTTGGCAAGCGATTGGAAACGCACAAAATATTATTTCAAAAATGAAGCAAAACAGAACTGTTTACTTGTTTAGAATTAGCTTCGGTGGGCAACTACCCCTTTGGCTGAACTATACGCACTGCAATTGTGTTTTGCCCCTCTTGAGGTCAAGGTCTGGATACGCCCCTGGTAAGAAGATAATAAAAACGAAAAATCTTGCTTACCTTTGACAAGTCTGAGTTTGGGTGACATTTCCGTCTTCTTTTCGGCTCCCATATGAGAACTCCGTGCCATGGATCTCATAGAAGTCCACGTTTTCATATATCCCGTTGGTCTGACTCAGTTTTTTCCAATTATGCTGCAAAAGAAGATCGTATCGATACTTGAACTGGCAGAAGAAGGAGGCGTTCCCTCCAAGAACGGCCATCTGATCCTTGCATACAACGCTGGACGATTGATACGGGATTGGTTTGTTGATCCAAGGGCGCTCTGCACAGAGATGGAGGAGTGAGAATGAGAATGAAAATGAGGGAGAAAGACAGAGAGAGAAAGAGAGGGGGTGGGGGAATAGGGATGGGGTAGAAAGAAAGAGGGAAAAAGAGAAAGAGGGAAAATGTTATAACTATCATTATTACTATTAGCATTATTATTGCCATGGTTATTATTATTATTGTTTTTATTGTCATCATTATGATATTTATTATTATCAATAATAACATTAATGTTAATATTTTTGTTATCATTATGATTGTTATTATTATCAATGATATTATTATTGTGATATTATTATTACCATTATAATCTATATTATTGTTATCATTATTATCATTATTATTCTCCTTTTCAGCGCTTCACCCTTCATCTCCCGCCCCTGCCTACCTTGGATACGCATGTTGATACTCCGACTAATATTCCTCACACCGTTCGACACCACGCAAGTGTATTTTCCTCCAGAGTCGAAATCTGTGGAAAGGAAATTGAGCGTCTGGTTGCTGTTCTCTAGCTTATACTTGGTGTCGGAGTTGTTGCCCAAACTCCAGGAGTCGTACGGGATGCCATTGAAGAACCACTGTATGCTACAGAAATTAAAGCTCTCACACTGGAGAACACGGTGCTGGCACTCATAGGAGAACACCAGGATCGCAGTCTCTTCCAGAAAGGAAAGCTTATCTGTGAGAGTGGAGTAATGCAAACGTTTACTGGGATCAGCAGGAGATCGAATACCTCACAGCACAAGGAGTTAACATCATATGAAAAAGAATGTAATATATAAACAAATCATTTTCAATTTTACAATCCATTTGATATAACAATGGTTTATCAAAGACAAGTTACAAGTATTATACCGTGTAAAGAATGAACACACAAAGGTGATGAAACATAAGCATAGAGCGGAATCGTTACAACACCTTTTAATATGTGATTTATGAGAAATAAAATTCCTAAAAGGTTGTGAACTATTGACACTTTTTACAAAGAACAAGAAGAAAAAAAAACTAGATAAAAGAAGTATATTGTTAATTCAATAATCTTCAATGATCTTTTTAGCACAAATGCCTCTTATCATTCATATTCCACCCGTCAATACGCAGATTTTCATCACTTTCTTCCCAAAACTACAATCAGTCAACATTCCTTAAGTTTTAATGGAATTAAGTTGCTATGGTCATAAATCAGAGCAGCGACCGACCGATTAGTAGCCTGCTCGGTCGCCGTTGGAATTTAGGCATCGCCCGACGATTTTGTGGAGAAGTCGCGAGCAGGCTGTAGAGCCCCAGCGATGCCTGGGCGGTGCTCATGTCGATTTCCCGTCGGTCGCCGGTCGATTTTAGGTCAAAACTGGGCAAAATTGGAGAGCTTCTCCGAGCGGCGTCCCGGCAGTGACCGACCGATGACCAACCGATACCCGAGCGGTCTCCAACCGGCCACCGGCTTACTGTAAGAAAATTGCCCGGCAGCCGGCCGGTGATCGGCGGGGCGCCAAAAAAAGCTCGGTGCCCGGGTGTTCGCAGCCCGGACATCGACCTAATCGAGCGTTCGCCGTCGAGCGATTTAGGTCAAAAATCTAGGCCGCTAGGTCAAAGGCTGCTGACCGATTTTGAACTCGCCGCCCAGTGACCGACTGATCTCCCAGCGGCGACCGGCCGACGACCGGGTGGCGAACGCTCAGGTGCCTTTGACTTAGCGGCTTCGATTTTTGACCTAAATCGCTCGACGGTGAGCGCTCGACTAGGTCGGTGCCCGGACGGCGACCGCCCGGGCACCGAGCGTACTTTGGGCGGCGAGTGAAAGTGAGCAGGCGCCGCCCGAATTTTAACTCCGCGCTAAAACTTCAGCAGCGACCGAGCCATGCCCTAAAAACAAGCGGGCCGGGCGGCCGCCGCTGGGCGAAATTGGCTCAAAACTCGTCGCCCGGCCGCCGAGCAGGCTACTTTTAGGTGATGTGACCATAATGGAATTACCTAGACAATGATATTTAACTTAAGCTATGGTCGTGCATTGATTAAGCATTTTCTTACATTTTATTTCATTCAGCTTTGGTAATTGTATTTTTTCAAGTTCGAGTTCGTTCATTCATTTCATTTAAACAAAACAGCAAATGCAAATAAACATACAAGTATATATACATACAGTTGTAGCGTCTACTTACTTCTATCAATGTCCTCCACACAATCCGTTGCTGCAGTCATGATCTGATTCCCGAGAACTGACCAAACAATAAGCGATAGGAATACAAGTCGTCTCATTACTTCCAAGTCCCTCATATTATCATTAATGATTCTCCAAACAGATGATTCGAAACTCAACAAGCTGAAAAATTTCTTTTTTTACAAGCCATTGACGAATTAATAGTTAATTTAGCAATACCCTCGCCAGAGCCGCCTTGAGAACCTTGCGCGGTGGATATGATAGGAAAAATAGAAATGGAATAGCATTGCTTCCGTTCTATTTGGAGGCAGTATACAACGGAAATCAATGGATACATTACTTCTGCTTTATGTTACTATAATCAGTGTTTATATTATACGCCGGTAGATTTTGCAACGTAATTGTGGGCTTGTAAGTTTGTTCAGGCTGCAACCTCGAAACCATTGCAAGGATCGAAGATAGCTGAAAGCAAAAGTGAAACTCAAACTTTCACTGGATCTATTTCTTTCTACTTTTTTTCGCTTGCAATAAAACTAGCTTCATATCCGGGTGGACTGCCCTTTATATGCATCCGGATATATATAAATACATTTCGTATTTGTTTTAAAAAACCCGGACTAGAAGAAATTGGGGATAGAGCATTTGCATCAGCAGCTCATTCTCAGTGGAATAATTTCCTGCTTTCTCTTCAAACAACCAATATCCTTCAAAATGTTAAAGTCATACTCGAAGATAAAGTTGAGTTCTGGTCTTGCGATTGCATTGTGAAAGAAACGGTGTGGAATCGATCAGGAAAAGTTTATTATGTAGCATATAAGTATTGGTGTGTACTGTAATCATTATGGTGCCTTCACTTAAACTGTATCATAATGTGAAAGAGGATGCCATTTAATACACACTGCTGCAAAGATCCCCCTAAAAAAAAAAGGTTTTGGTATGCCCTTTCGAATACAAAATTCTTTGAGAAGCAAAAAAAAAAAGGGGGGGGGGGAGTGGTCTTCACCCTAAGAAACTTCATTTTTTTCTATCTTCTTGACCCATGCCCTACTTCTTTTCTTTATGCCGGAGAGGAGGCAGGCGTACCATCTCCCTGCATCTGTCACTGATCATGGATGTACAAAAAGCCTTAACTGAATCGATAACATATTATTCTTTGTTACGTCATGTTCGTAGGCACTGCTAATGGTTGTGCCAGTGAGCCCTGTTATAATGGAGGCACTTGCAAGAACAGCTTGACCAGTTACACGTGCCTATGTACAATACAGGAGATACAGGAACCCACTGTGAAATGTGTGAGTAAGTCCTAAATGTATCAAAGAGACTAAAAAATTATGGCTTGTTCAAATATGCCGCGGTAAAAAAAGAGAAAAAGATAGAGAGAGAAAGGAGAGAGAGAGAGAGAGAGAGAGAGAGAGGGGGAGAGAGAGAGGGGGAGAGAGAGAGGGGGAGAGAAGAAGAAGAAGAAAAACAGAGAGAGGAGGAGAAAAATAGGAGGAGAAAAGAAAGGAAAGGAGGAAGGAGGAAAACAAGAAACAGAAAGAGTAGAAGAAATGGGAGGAGAGCAAGAAACAGAGGAAGAAGAGGGCAAGGAAAGAAGGTGTAGAAGAAGAGTGAGAATGTGAAATATACATGCATTTAGACTTCATAAGGTTGTGGCCCTCATGCATTGAGACTTCATAAGGTTGTAGCCCTCCCAAGATACCTGGAGCAGTATATTGAAAGGAAGAAATTACTGCAATCTTGGATACGGTGTTCCTAACTAAGAAATGTTTTAGCCGAGCTCTTTTGGGTCTCGTTCTCCTTTTTGATATATAAAAACAATTAATCAATCTATCATCCAGTCAACCAATCAATCAGCCAATAAATCAACCAGTCGATCAACCAATCATCCAACTAATCAATCAATCAATCATCCAACTAATCAACATTCTATCATATCAATCAATTAATCAACCAGTCGATCAACCAGTCGATATACCAATCGATCATTATCAGCTAAAAGTGTGTGCAAAGAGAAATTTAATCATAGAACAGCAAACTACACAAGAGAAAACAATACTGTCTCATGAAAAATGGTATTTATTTCATGTTTTTTAAGTTCTGAATTGAAGTATGTTTATTGTGTATATATACAACTCGAATGATATGTTAAGCAAAATAAATAAATAAAAAGAGAATTGGGTTGCATGGAAGAGCCCTTTCATCTTGTATCATAAACAAACAAACAAATATTGTTATAATCTGTAGGGTATTTGTAAAAGTGGATCATACGGAATATGAGACAATTCCAGATCTTTGACATTAATTTTGTTTTTTAACGAGCATATTTTGTGATATTGGTTCTGTTTTGTATTTATAAGAAGAGTTAATTCCAATGGTCATGATGGATGGTGGATATATATATATATTTTTTTAAGTTTACAAAAGAAAAATGAGACAGAAAATCATGGTAAAAACAACGGAAACATTATTAAGAATTGATAAGTGTGCAAATAACTGGATTGTTTAAGATGAATTTAAATGTTCAGAAGACGGCCAATGGTAATTTATTATCAATTGTGTTAACACATTGCATTGCCTTTTATAATTGACAACTGTACAACATTTCGGAAATGATATATTCGTAAATTTTATAGTAAATTTTCTCTTATGTTCTTACACATTTGCATAATAACAATGATTATGCTCACCAATAATTTGTTTTACCTCTCCCCAGAACTCAACTGTCTCTTTAAGCTGAAAAGAGTGTTGCCATGTGGACTATATGTATCCTGGATTGCTCTCATTATCAATCAAATGAGGCCCCTTTTTTGGTCGTAGGAAGAATTGAAAGATGGAGAGAGAGGAGTTGAATGTGTTTGAATTTGGCTGATATTCTTGGAATGAGTTAAGATTGTCAGGTTCGTTTGCGTGGACCGGGTGGGAAGGCGAGAAAAGTGAGGACGAGGTGGAAGATCCATAACTGGATGATAAGGACATCGGCGCCGTCGGCGACAGCGGAGGAGACGTAGTCGTCGACATATAGGATATTTCTGAGGACTGAGTTGAAGGTCGGTTCTGCCGGGACGAGCCCGAAGCTTTCCCTACGACGAGTCCACCAGATCTTGATGATTCTGGACAAGATAACGCTGTTAAATGTTGTAGGCTGGAATCGACTGCATATGGTCTTTCAGTAGTTAGCAATGATGGGGACGTCAATGATATCGATGACGAGATATTCGACGGCGTTGCGGCTGACATTACCGGCATCGTAATATACGATGATTGTTCAATCGGTAAATTACTGCTTTGTCGACGCGGTGGTAGTCGGAGTCGTAACCGCTTCATTGCCCAATCATCGAGACGCGTCTCGCCCTTCTGCTTCCATTTTAAACATGTGACATCCTTGAGCACGTGGTCGATCAGCTTGGCATTCGAGTCGGTGTTCGACAAGGAGGTTGGCCCGGAGTCTCGGTAGAGCAGAGGGATGACGTTTGGGTGCATGGTGTCCAACGCGTGATGGAGTTCAAACAAATGCCATTCGTTTCCTGAAAAATTGTTCACAGAAAACGATGGCGATGATGGAGAAGACAATGATGATGACGAGGAAGTTAGTTGTGCAGCTGTAGTTTCTATCCTTCCTGATGTAGATTGCGATGATGAGGTCGATGAATGCCGGTAGAAATCTGCTGACAGTAACACGATGCAGCGGCGGCTTTTTGTCAGCGCTTCCACGATTTCTTCACTTTCAACTAATGATGCAAACAGAATGATGGAAACAGAATGATGGAAACAGAATGATGGAAACAGAATATGCATTTGCCCAAGAAATATAAGATCAGTGGAAGAAAATTGGGGATCGAACAAGTATAACATCTAAATTAGGCATACTATTGTTAATACATCATTAAGATAAATTATCTTGATATTGTACTTCTTCGTTCCCCCAATAAGTATCAACTGGATTTGGTTTTTGGTTGAGAAGGGGGAACGGTCTTACTTTGATCAAACTTACATGTAAGCCAACATTTTTTTGTCACTCACAGTAGTAGTCAACATGCGGAAAAGAAGAGAAGGTGTTTATATTAATATTTATCTGATCAAATCAATTTCATTATGCTGTTATTCTTATGCTTCAGTCATACTTCCATGTAAATCCTATCGCAAGCGCCACGTAATTTTGTTAGATATTGTGATTAACAGAACTTTACTAAAGGGAGTGCAAAAAAAGATCGAACTAACCAGAGCCGAATGTTGCGTCTCTTTCTCGTATGAATAGTTTATACTGGTCCTGCAAACTCGGGCAGAGAATGTTGTCGACAAAGGATTTATCCTGGCCTTCATAACATGAAATAATGTATGCGTCGTAGAGTTTGTTATCTATCTCTGGAGAAAGAAAGAGAGAGAGAGAGAGAGAGAGAGAGAGAGAGTGAAACGGTGAGAGAGGAGGGGTTGGGGGAGGGTAGGCAAAAATGAAAACATAAGAATAATTGACAAAATTAATCACACAATGATTGATTCATGGTCACAAAAAAATCATACCAAATATCATGAACGTCCTAGAATTTGTTATCTATTTCTTGTTTTAAAAAAGAGGGAGGGAGAGAGATAGATGGGGCAACAATCTTAACAACAATGATAATAGCGAGACTTATTTTGCGTTTATATCCATCCCATGGGATGCTCGTGTCTCAATTATAATTTATTATCGCGCCCAAGGAATACATTCTTACCAGGGTGGAGAGTGTCATTTAGATGAACTGCCAAAGTAATGTATGGTGATGGAAAGCCACTTTAAGCAGGAAGCCCTCTCTTGACGGTGGGATGACAGCTATAACTCTACTTTGGTTTATCCCATTTACTCTCAAACTCCCACTCTACATACTCATGTCCCCAATTGGCATGAACCCGAGGGGAAAATAGGGTTAAGCAACCTCTTTTTTTTTATATTATTTTCAGACAATCAAAGCCTCTATTGTTAGTAACCCCTTCCATGGCTCACAGCCCAGATTACAGCATCATGTCATTTAATATTGTAGTGTAAGCAAGGGAAAGCAAGGGATAGATTAATGCATTTTTTTTTATAGTCGAAGAGACGTTTTTTATGCCCCAATTGGCATGAACCCGAGGGGAAAATAGGGTTAAGCAACCTCTTTTTAAAAAATTATTTTCAGACAATCAAAGCCTCTATTGTTAGTAACCCCTTTCATGGCTCACAGCCCAGATTACAGCATCATGTCATTTAATATTGTAGTGTAAGCAAGGGAAAGCAAGGGATAGATTAATGCATTTTTTTTTTTTATAGTCGAAGAGACGTTTTTTTCTTTTCATGGAATTGCTCTTTTGCTGTAACACGTATTTACACATGCTGTGCCAATAGAGACAACGTGCTTTTATGGGTTATAGTGGGAAATTGATTGGACCTACTTGTCTTAACTGTAATAGAAATAGATTAATAGATGGATAGATAGATAGATAGATAGAGGATAAGAGAAAGAGAGAGGGAGGGAGAGAGGCCGGAGTGAGAGATAAAGAGAGACAGAAAGTGTGATAGTGGGATATTGATTGGGCCTACTTGTCCTGACTGTAATAGAAATAGATGTATTGATAGACAGATAGACAGAGAGAGAAAGGGAGGGAGAGGAGGCTGAAATTATACCTTCTGTTTCTAGTGTGGCGCGATGGTCATGATTCCAAAGTTTGACGTCAGTGCCATAGCGTTTCCATGACAACACGACAAGGGAAAGGAGGATGGTCAATGTCGCAACCACGACCACCACACTGGTTGTGTCCGTGACCTTGACTACATGTTCTTCTGTGGTCGCTGTGAGAAAGTAGATAAAGAAACACGCACGTATGAGATGCTGATATTAATGTGAGATCCCTGTGGTATAACTGGAGGATTCTCATTATGACCGATCCAGGGTTCAATCTGTTCGGTACTGATATCCTTGGACGAAATTTTTGATCCACACTTGATCCTCTCGTCCTATGTAACAATATAGATATAATGACTGCTATGAGAGGGATAGTGTTTTTATGGGCTCAAGAGGACGTTACATCCTGATATCACCCGAGGCGTTCCGAGAGGGTGGTAGCAGGATGCAACATCCCCGAGAGACTATAAAAACTAATATGCCTCGAATTTTAAAGCAGTCTTTATATCTTTTATAACCCGAATTCACAAAAAATGTACAAAGAATTCTTACCCTTATCCTGTTTTTTGTATAGTAAAGACTGGATAAAACATCACAGAAAATCTGAGACACTGTCTGTAAACCTTCGCTTGAAAGTTGCTTGAATGTTACAATCATTCGGGAATCCTACACACAGTACTGCACTGTATTTTGTATCCGCGCTCGCACAAATAAACTTTTAACACGTAAACCAATAGGGATCTCACCAAAATGTACCTTTGCATCTTTTAAAAGACTATTGACCGGTAGGCGGGCATGGCTAAAAGCACAACTCCAATTTCGACCAATCAGATGGCTAGATTTCTAAAGGTATATAATACTAATGAGGCTACACTGTTTTCAAACCAACCGGGTGTTGAAACCTATGTTAAAACCATATGGGAGTTGGAGGATTCATTAGTCAATGGGTTCAATCGACCTGTTGGGCAGAATCTACATGTACATTTAAAAGTCCACACCTGAACCTATCCCAATATCTTTCAGAATCCAATTTAGGTCAAGTCGTAGCTAAGTCGCGGTCACGTCATGGTCAGGTCATAGTCAAACTGTAGTCAAATGGTAGTAAATTTGCGACCATGTCGAAAACAAGCCAAAATCGTAGTAAAGTCGTAAGAAAGTCGCTGTCAATCTTAGTTAAAGGCGTAAGGTGTCTACGCGGTCCAAAGATAATGCTTACCCAGCGAGAGTGTAAGGTTGACCTTCGTTAAGAACCCGGAGATCTTACAATGTACCTGGTACCTCCCCAAAGCCTCTTCAGTCACATTCGTGATGTTCAGCCATGTAGACAAAATCTTGAAAGGCTTCCTGGGTAAAGAGAGTCAAGCATAAAGAAAATCATAAATATGTATATCACCCTAATACGTCAAAAAGCTCTCGGATAAGCGGAATAAATGTTATATATTTCAAGTTTTCCGCCGGGAAGGAGGCACATTTTCTTCTCATACTCCTTATGTTTAAAGATATGCTATGTTAGGTTTTGTCGAGTGGTAGGGGGTTGGTAGGGCGAGCCTCCTGAAAATCAGCCATAGCAAACAGCAGGTTAGGGAATCGTTTGTAAGCCCAGTACATTTGGCAAGCTATTCAAAACGCAAGAAAAATTCATGCAAAATGATGCAAAACAGTACTTACGTAGCATTTGCTTCACCACCCCTTTGGCTGAACCATATGCATTACAATTGTGTGATACCCCTCTTGAAGTCAAGGTCTGATAAGAAGGTAATAAAAACGAAAAATCTTGCTTACTCTGGACAGTTTTTCTGAGTTAGGATGACATTTTCGTCTTCTTTTCTGTACCCATGCGTGAACTCCGTGCCTGGGATGTAATAAAAGTCCACCAGTTGAAATCCCCCGTATGTCTGGTTCAGTTTCCTCCAACTCTTCTGCAAGAAGGCCCCGGGGTTTCGATACTTGAACTGGCAGAAGAAGGAGGCGTTCCCGCCAAGAACGGCCATCTGATCCTTGCACACACCGCTGGACGATTCCAATGGAATGGGTTTGTTGAGCCATATTTTCTCTGCACAGAGATGGAGGAGAGAGAGATAGAGAGAGAGAGAGAGAGAAAGAGAGAAAGAGAGAAAGAGAGAAAGAGAGAAAGGGGGTGAGGGGAGAGAGAAAGATAGGGGGTTGAAAGAGAGAGATTGTTATTACTTTTATTATTATTAACAATATTGTTAGTAATGTTATTGTTGCTATTATCATAATTACAATTATCATTCATGCTATCATTATGATTTTTATTATTATCAAAATTATATTATTATCAATATTATTATCATCATTTTTATTAGTATTATTCTTTCAAGCCCTTCACCCTTTATGCCCCGCCCCTGCCTACCTTGGATACGCAAGTTGATACTCCGATTAATATTCCGCACACCGTTCGAAACCACGCAAGTGTATGTTCCTTCAGAGTCGACGTCTGCGGAAAGGAACTTGAGCGTTTGGTTGCTATCCTCTAACTTGAACTTAGTGTCGGAGTTGTTTCCCAAACTCCAGGAGTCGTACGGGATGCCATTGAAGAACCACTGTATGCTACAGAAATTGACGCTCATACACTGGAGAACACGGTACTGGCACTCGGTGGAGTACACATCGCTTGCCGTCTTATCCAGAAAGGAAAGCTCATCTATGAGATTGGAGTAATGAAAAGCCTTACTTGGACCAGCTGGATATCGAATATTTCACAACACAAGGAACCCTAACCCTAAACTTGATCCTATGGAATAGGTTTAAGCCCTGACCCGAGGACCAATTAACCTTGGCCATAGGGCCTAACCCCTGTTGTAAGAAATCTAATTTTCAAGTTTATTCAGAGAATTGACACTTCAGAAAATACGATTGTTAAAGTGTTAGTTAACCCAATGCATAACAGCACAAGGTTCACCTCAGACTTGTGGAATTTCTAGTTCTGTAGCTTGCTGTCACAGTCGGCAGAGGTTGATAATTGATTAAAGTAGTTTTGTTTTGTTTTTCATATATCCATATGTGTTCAGAGTAGTACAAGGTTCACCTGCTTTATGCTTTCTTAGCAGTCAGGTAAAATAACACCAACCAACCACCTCAGACCTGTAGAAATTCTGGTTCTGTAGCTTATTGTCACAGTCGGCAAGGTTGGTTAAAGTATTTTAGTTTTGCTCCTCGTATACCCATATGTGTTCCCTTCTTATTTTTGTTCATTGTTTATGTAAATATGTATCAAGTATCAAGTATCAAGTTTATTTGTCTTCCAGAAAACACATGTGACAAAATATAATAGAGTATAATCACAACAATACAATGTAGAATAAAGAAAGACGAGGAGACCTTGGTTGAAGCACAGCTTTTTAATAATATGTTCATTGTTTATATGTAAATATGATATATGGACCTATGCTCTTACAGCTGAGTCTAGAATAAAGTCTTGAATTGAATTGAATTGAATAATCTATCCATAACCCAAACCCAAACCCTGACCCGATTTCCAGAAATGAAGAAAATACATAATAAAATGTACACCTCATTAGTATTATGATAATTTATTGGTATTATTATTACTGTCATTATTATTATAATCATTATGATTATCTGGACAGTTATAACATCATCATTATTATCATTATTAGTAGTAGTAGTAGTAGTGTTATTGTTTTTATTATTACTATTATCATTAATAATAATATTATTATTATTATTATTATTATTATTATTATTATTATTATTATTCTGCTTATTATTATTACTATTATCATTAATAATATTATTCTGCTTATTATTATTACTATTATCATTAATAATATTATTATTATGATTAATATTATCATTTTTAATATTATTATAATTATCGTGATTATCAGTATTAATATAATTGTCATTACTATCATTATCATTATCATTATTTATTATTATCATCATTTTATTCATTCATTTCCTTTTTATCTGGGGGGAGGGGGGGTCAATCGAAAATCCATAGCCTCTAAATGTTACTGGCCTGCTCAAATATAAACAACACGGGACATCACGGGTTCCAAAGCTCTAGCTTATTAATCATGCTGCACGAATTTTCTGCTGATTTCAATTAAATTCAGTCGTATTAAATCTGCCCTTTAGATTACTCCTCCTGTTATTCAAAACTCTGTATAACACCTATATAATACCTCTTTCAAGCAACAGGAAGAAACTCTACAAGAAAACAGGCAAGACACTTAAAGCTCGAAATGCATTATGAGAGACTATATACAGACAGAAAAACATAACATGGCAGATGAAGGGACAAACAAAAAGCTCCGAATGGAAAAATATCCATAATATGTACTATATTAATAGTTATTTACATGAAAATATGTGATAAATCTTGTCATTGACATCACATAATACGGTTCTAGGACACCTTCTCCCTGGACATCCGACCCGGATAACCACCCCTAGTCAACTACCCCTTAGGACACCTACCCCCTGGACATCCACCCCGGATAACTGCCCCCAGTCAACTAGTCTACATGATATAGAAATGTGGAAGAGCTAGAAAGAGAGATAGAAAGAAAGGAAGATAGAATAGTGAAGCTAGAGTACGCTGCTAACGATCTCCAACAATATTCCAGGCGATCATCTCTTCGAATCTTTGGTGTCACGGAGACACCAAACGAGACTACAGATCAGATCGTCTGCAAAATTGCCGCGGATCAGCTTAGAATTGCCCTGTCGCCAGGTGACATCGACCGATCACATCGCGTCGGGAAGCCTGACGGCAGGCATCATCGCGCCATCATCGTCAAGTTTTGCTCATATCGCAAGCGAACCGAAATCATCCAAGCACGTCGATCACTGAAAAATACTGGAATTACGATTCAAGAGGATCTCACACAACACAATGCTCAACTGTACGCAAGAACCTACAAACACCGGAAGGTATTAGCTGCATGGACTCGTGATGGTATGATTATTGCCTCAATTCAAGCCTCTGGTGGAAAATCGACCTCTAAAGTTATCCGTTCAGATATCGACCTCGAAAACCTTTGATAGTTAAGTCAAGTTAGCGATATTGCGAACGATCGAACTGACATTTTAATGACTTATATTTCTCCCTGGAGTCAGAAGTTTTTTGTTTTTTTTACATTTTATCTTTTCGGATTTTTCTAATACTCGAACTTTTAAATGTATTTTGTTTTGTTTTGTATTTCTAATTTGTTTTTTGTATACTGCTTGTATGCCTGGAAGCACTGTAAATTCAATTATTAATGATCAATCGTTTGTGGAATTCTTAAGCCCGAGAAATGGAGAAAACGATTTTTATGGACCCTCTCATGGATCTTATACATGCAATGAATTCAATGACCTCGTTAATGATTCGAATGATGGCTTATTTCCCATCTTACATATCAACTGCCGAAGTTTAAGTAAAAATTATGATAACATTAGTACTTTTCTTAGTTCCTTAACAGTTCAATTCACAGCTATTGCTTTGACTGAGATATGGATTAAGGAGTACAATTCCTATTATGATATTCATAACTATACTCTTGTACTTATAGGTCGACAGAATAAAAAAGGTGGTGGAATTGGTTTTTATGTAAGAAATGATGTGAAATTTAATCGTAGACTTGATCTTGATATAAATACTCCATATATTGAATCGCTTTTTATTGAAGTTGTTACTGCTAATAAAAGTGCAATTCTCGGAGTTGTTTATAGACCTCCTGACCAACCTATACAAAGTTTTCTTGAGTCGGTTGAAAATGTTATTACTACTGTAAACACTGAAAATAGAACATTTTACATGATTGGGGATTATAATATAAACCTATTTAAAGTAAATTGTCAATCTCATGTTAAAGATTTTATTGAAATGTTTATGGCAGTTGGTATGTACCCTCTAGTTCATGGTCCAACGCGTGTTGTAAATAACTCAATCTCTCTCATTGACAATATTTTCACAAACAACCTTGAAAATTGTTCATCTGGCACAATCTTAACAGACATTAGTGATCATTTCCCAATATTCTGCATTTATTCGCAAAGTACTCAAACCGTAACAGAAACGTGTATTACAATGAAAATACAATTTAGTGCAAAAAATATAAATACTTTTATTACGAATATCGGCAATACGCATTGGATTCTGAAAGAAAACGATGCTAATTCAAGTTATGATTGTTTTCTAAAACAATTTCAACATGTATATGAAATATGTTTCCCAATGAAATGTCAATCTAAGAATAAAAAACGATTTGATAAACCTTGGTTCAATGATGAATTAAGTCAGCTGAACAAAAAGAAAAGCTTATATTACAAGAAATATTTGAATAATCGTACTGCGTATAGACTTGATGCATACAAAAAGTGTAGAAATAAGTTAACGAATAGAATTAAAGATGTTAAATATAAGTATTTCAAACAAAGTTTTGTAGATGCTAAAGGTGATACTAAACAAACATGGAAAATTATAAATGGTCTTTTAGGCACAAAGTCTAAGAAAAATGAAATTCCGAGTACTCTACATTATAATAATGAAACGATTGATAATGATACAGATATATGTGAATCTTTTAACGAATACTTTATCAATATAGGTCCAAAATTAACATCAACTCTTGATATACCTATTGGTGATTTTAATCATTATCTAAAGAAAAATGAATCTACTGCTTTTTTTTACTCCAGTCACTCCAAGAGAAATAATGACCATTGTAGATAAATTAAAGAGTAATAAATGTAGTGGTTTTGACAGTGTTGATGTTAAGATGGTTAAAAGAGTTATACATTTGATCTGTTATCCATTATGTGCAATATTCAATTCTTCATTGGAAACTGGGATCGTACCAGATCAGTTGAAAATTGCTCAAATTATTCCTATATTTAAAAGTGGTACTAAAACTGAAATGTCCAATTATAGACCTATATCACTTCTTCCAGTATTCTCTAAGATATTAGAAAGAGCTGTGTATAATCGTTTATATTCCTTTTTGAATCTCCATAATATTTTGAAAAATTCACAATTTGGTTTTCGATCAGGCCACTCCACATCCTCTGCTTTAGCTGATTTTACATGCCAAGTTTCTCAAGTCTTTGATAAATCTGAAGTCATGATGGGATTGTTTTTAGACCTCAGTAAAGCCTTTGATACTCTTGATCATAATATTATACTTGCAAAATTGTTCAATTACGGAATACGTGGTGTGTTATTAAATTGGTTTAAGAGTTATTTATCAAACAGAAAACAATTTGTCAAAATTAAAGGTAATACTTCGTCTATGCAAACAGTTGTATGTGAAGTGCCACAAGGCTCTATTTTAGGCCCGCTTTTATTTATTCTTTCTATTAATGACATGTGTAATATATCGGACAAATTAAAATATATCTTATTTGCAGACGACACCAGTGTGTTTATGTCCCATAAAAATATTCAAAGTTTACAACAGGACTTTGGTAATGAAATAAACAAGCTATTACATTGGCTTTCTTTGAATAAATTAATTTTGAATGTTAATAAAACTAACTACATGGTTTTTACAAAACAAAAAATAGATTTTAATGAGGTTGATCTTCAGGTGAATAATCATGAATTCCAACGTGTATCTGTAAACAAATTCCTCGGAATAGAAATTGATTCTAAACTTACATGGAATGAACACACTGGTGCTGTCTGCAACAAGATCTCAAAAAATACTGGCATTCTAAACAAACTTAGATTTCTACCAAAATGTGTTTTAAGAATGTTATATAATACTTTAATTCTTCCTCATTTATATTACTGTTCTGAAGTATGGGGCATGACAAGCCAAACCAATCTGAATAGGATACTCAAAATGCAAAAGAAAGCCATCCGGATAATTTCAAATTCACACTACAGAGCTCATTCGAAACCTATATTTTATAAATTAAAGCTTCTCAATGTATTTGATATCTGTGAATATCACATTGCAGTCTTTATGTACTTGTGTCGAAATGAATCTTTACCATGTGCACTTCTAAAGTATTTTAATTTGAATTCGACTTTTCATGATTATGAAACTAGAAATGCAACTAATTTCCACTTACCTCAAATGAAAACAACTTTAATGAAAAAGTCAATATTTTTCGATGGTCCAAAAATTTGGAATTCCATTCCAATAAATATAAGAAATTGCAAAAGTCTTCAAACTTTTAAACGAAAATATAAAATGTATTTAATTGATTCCTACGTGCTATAACTCACCAGGCTCTTTACCCCCCTTGTTTTCCCTCTTTTTGTCATGCTTCCAATCCTACAACATTTAATTTGCCTTTTATTTATATTATACTGAGGGATGAGCTCTAGCATAAGGACCATACTCCTTTTTAGCTCATCCCTTCACTCCCATTATGTTACATGTATGTTATTTTGTTGTTATTGAATGTATGATATTTTATGTGTGATTATTCCGTATTTAATTGTATATGTTCTTGTATTTTTAATGATGAGTGTAAATAAAGGAACTTGAACTACCCCTTAGGACACCTACCCCCTGGACATCCACCCCGGATAATTACCGCCCCCAATCAACTACCCCCTAGGACACCTACCCCCTGGACATCCACCACCGGATAACCACCCCGGGACAACTACCACCCGGACAACTACGACAATTATCCTCGAGGACAACTACCCCCGGACAACTATCCTAGGCGGTAGTTGTCCGGGGGTAGTTGGCTGGGGGTAGTGTTGTCCTAGGGGGTAGTTGACTGGGGATGGTTATCCGGGGGTGGATGTCCAGGGGGTAGGTGTCCGGATACGCACATAATACAATTACCACAGCTGATTGAAATAAATTGTAAGAAAATGCTTAATTAATGCATGTACAAGTTGTAGGGTCTACTAACTACTACTTACTACTATCAAGGTCCTTCGGACAAACCGTTGCTCCAGCCATGGTCTGAACGCCGAGAACTGACCAAACACTGATCATTAGGAATACAAGTCGTCTCATCACTTCCAAGTCCCTCATATTATCATTCATGATTCTCCAAATAGATGATTCGAAACTCAACAAGCTGAGAAATGTCCTTGTATGCAAGCCATTGACGAATTCGTAGTTAATTTAGCAGTACCCTTGCCAGAGCCGGGGTAATATTGGAGCGCCTTGAGAACCTTACCATAAAGATATCCAGTATTCTTAATTGTAGTAGTATCGAAAATATTTATTCCTGTTTAAATCTTACTGCTAATTTTCTCTCTTTCACAAGATTAGAAAAATAGAAATGGAACCGAATCGCTTCAGTTCATCAAATAAAAGTAACGCTTGTTGAACGATTGTTAAGAAGAGATCTGCCGAGACCGTCGATGAACATTGACAGTAGACATCGATGGTGTTTGAAGATTCGCCCACATTTGGAGGCAGAATACAACGGAAGTCAATAGATACAAAGTATTATTCCTGACGGAATTTCTTTTTTTAGACACCTGATGTTTCTCCTAGGTGATACTATATATATAACAGCATTTCAATTTACAGGAAAGGACAAAGAAACCCGGATATATCCGGTGATATATCAATATACGCCGGTAGATTTTGCTAAATATAGTCTTGTAAGTGTGTTAAGTGTGGTGCGGTAGAATTCACATTATGTACAACATTTTGTGAGTTATGATGATTCATGTTTATAGTATGCGAACAGCCTATTACAATGGCATCTTGCGCTAGAGTGGTTCTGTACAAAATGGTGGTGTCTCGATCTATAGACCTAATGGCCCGAATTTACAAAGCAAGGTTTGAGCTCAGACCAAGGTTTGAGCTCAAACCTCCTTTTGTTTCGCCAAACCTCCTTTTGTTCTTTACAAACCAGGTTTGTAAAAAAACGCGTAAAACGCGTCATATGACGTACGAAAACCAAGGTTTGTCGACAAACCTGCTTTGTGAATTCGGGCCAATGTGTTTCCGGCTCTTTGATTATGAAAAACCAAGAAGTTACCAGCAAGAAGTTGCTGGTAACTTCTTGGAAAAACACCACAAAAGGTTGATTTCTGTGATTGATGTTTGCCTCCCCTCTTCTCCTCTCTCTCTCTCTCTCTCTCTCTCAGTCTCTCTCTCTGTCTCTGTCTCTGTCTGTCTATGTCTGTCTCTCTCTCTATCTCTCTCAGTCTCTCTCTGTCTAGATCTCTCTGTCTATCTCTTTCTCTCTCGCTGTCTATGTCTCTCTCTCTCTCTCTAGCTCTCTCTCTCTCTCTCTCTCTCTCTCACACACACTGAAAGAGTCTAATTGTCATTCTAACGTCCCGATTCACGTTATAGCGTGATCAGCGACAAAAGTCATCTTTGTACACACCCCAGAAAACCATGTCGCATAAAAGAATAAATGACCTTTAAAAATAATCGAGGCAATGCACTCCTCTGGACAACTTGGGGTTTTTCCCTTTCCATTCAGTACTAAACCACCGTAATCACGTGACACCATTCTTTCCTGTGCATCTTTGTTCAACCATTGACATGGTCCATGGTTTAATACAATGTCGATGAATTTCCTTGTGTACGTACCAGTCTGTTCCTGCACGCCTTCCCCGAAATTTAATTTTGTAACATCATGTTTCTACTTCACTAACAGACCAGAGCCCTGAAAATCAGAAAAGTTATTATGTAGCATTAGTAGTATTGGTGTGTACTGTAATCATTATGGTGCCTTCACTTAAACTGTATCATAATGTGAAAGAGGATGTCAAAGATGCAAAGATCCCTCCCCCTGTGGTAAGCAGAAAACCTCAGTGTTGTATTCTTTCACCAATATTCTACTTTAAACATGTTTCTATTAAAAATCCTTTAACATTATGATACAGCTTAAGTGATGAACATTTTGGGGGTCCCAACATTTTAGAGGGGCTTTACAAAAGAAAAAATATAAGGTTTTTGGTATGCCCTTTTGAATACACAATTATCTGAGAAGTAAAAAAAAAAAAAAAGGGGGGGGGGGGGGTCTCCACCCTAAGAAACTTAATTTTTTTAAAAATCTTCTTTACCCATCCCCTACTTCTTTTCTTTATGCCGGAGAGGAGGCAGGCGTACCATCTCCCTGCATCTGTCACTGATCATGGATGTACAAAAAGCCTTAACTGAATCGATAACATATTCTTTGCATACGTCATGTTCGTAGGCACTGCTAATGGTTGTGCCAGCGAGCCCTATTAGAATGGAGGCACTTGCAAGAAAAGCTTGACCAGTTACACGTGCCTATGTACAATACAGGAGATACAGGAACCCACTGTGAAATGTGTAAGTCCTAAATGTATCAAAGAAACTCAAAAATTATGTCTTGTTCAGATAAGCCGCGGTATAAAAAGAGAAGAAGAAGAAGAGAGAGAGAGAGAGAAAAAAAAAAGATAGAGAAGGAGACAAGTAAGAGGAGAAAAGAAAGGAAAGGAGGAGGGAGGGAAACAAGAAACAGAAGGAGTAGAATAAATGGGAGGAGAGCAAGAAACAGATGAAGAAGAGGGCAAGGAAAGAAGGTGTAGAAGAAGAGTGAGAATGTGAAATAAACATGCTTTGAGACTTCATAGGGCTGTGGCCCTCCCAAGATACCTGGAGCAGTATATTGAAAGGAAGAAGTTACTGCAATCTTGGATACGGTGTTCCTAACTAAGAAATGTTTTAGCCGAGCTCTTTTGGGTCTCATTCTCCTTTTTGATATATAAAAACAATTAATCAATCTATCATCCAGTCAACCAATCAATCAGCCAATAAATCAACCAGTCGATCAACCAATCATCCAACTAATCAATCAATCAATTATCCAACCAATCAATTAATCAATGAAACCACCAATCAATCAATCATCCAACTAATCAACATTCTATCATATCAATCAATTAATCAACCAGTCGATCAACCAGTCGATATACCAATCGATCATTATCAGCTAAAAGTGTGTGCAAAGAGAAATTTAATCATAGAACAGAAAACCACACAAGAGAAAACAATACTGTCTCATGAAAAATGGTATTTATTTCATGTTCTTAAGTTCTGAATTGAAGTATGTTTATTGTGTATATATACAACTCGAATGATATGTAAAGCAAAATAAATAAATAAAAAGAGAATGGGGTTGCATGGAAGAGCCCTTTCATCTTGTATCATAAACAAACAAACACATATTGTTATAATCTGTAGGATATTTGTAAAAGTGGATCATACGGAATATGAGACCATTCCAGATCTTTGACATTAATTTTGTTTTTTAACGAGCATATTTTGTGATATTGGTTCTGTTTTGTATTTATAAGAAGAGTTAATTCCAATGGTAATGATGGAAGATGGATATATATATTTTTTTTAAAGTTTACTAAAGAAAAATGAGACAGAAAATCATGGTAAAAACAATGGAAACATAATTAAGAATTGATAAGTGTGCAAATAACTGAATTGTTAAAGATGAATTTAAATGTTCAGAAGACGGCCAATGGTAATTTATTTGTCAGGGTCTGTTCAACTGTGTGTTGTATTTGATTGTTGATGTATCTTCTTTATACCCTTGGATATATCAAGAGCAACAGTGGAATGCAGCACTGTCTAAGATTGTATGGTCCATTTTGCATAGTTGATGGAGAATCCTATGAATAGCTGGAGGGAGAATGCCAGGCAAGTTTTGACTGAGTTCTAATGGTTCTAAGCTTAACATTTTGAGTGTGCCCATCTACCAAGATTTGTGTTGTTTTATTACTCGTGAAACATTCCTCGCAATATGACCAGATCGAGGCAGAGGAAAGCCCAACTCTTCTCCTGGCAAATTCCTGCCTACTTCACAAAGAGGTCAAGGTCAGGCCATGCCATCACCAAAACAGCCTTTTATTCCCCACAAGGGAGTAGATCGCACAGTTAAAGCGAAACAAGGAATGTTGGACTCTTCCATAACCAAAGAAGGTGTCTTCATCGACGTGCAAAGTGTTCATGACCAGCTGGGGAATATTGGAGTAGCTCAAGATGATCTGGCCATTATCATCGGGAATGCTGTTGAGACAGCTGTCAAGGCAGCAATACCTGCAATTGTGAAGGCAGTGAGAGAAGCCTGTGTTGCCTCTGTGAAGGAGGATATCAACCCACACCTACTTCGCAGCCAATTCGAGAGGGATGAAGTTGACCAGCAGATGCGGAGGGAAAACCTTCGTATCATAGGACTCACAGAGGGGCATGTAGGACAAGTGGAGACAGAAGAAAATGCAGGTGAATCAGAAGAGGCCTTGATGGGTAAAGTTTGTCAGCTAGCAGAAGAGGTTGGAGTGAACATCACCCCAGATGACATTTCAACATGCTATCGGGTTGGAAAGCCAAGAGTGGGAGGAGGAGGAGCTCGCCAAACGATAGTTCGGCTCATATCTCGACGAAAGAGGGACGAAATATTCAATAGGAAGTATGCTTTGAAGGGAAAAACTTCCTACAAGGGCGTTTTTGTTAACGATGATCTTACCCCCATGCGATATTCTGTGCTGAGAAGCGCAAAAAACTCTCCACTTGTTAAAAATATTTCCACAAAAAATGGGAATATCGTTTGCAAAATGCAGGATGACTCTTTCAAAGTCATCAAAACACCTGATGACTTGTTTGATGTTGGGCTAAATGACATCAAATACGAAGATTTCAAACTCTCCATAATGTAAATGACTTATAAATATGATGAGCAACAAATGTTTTATTATTTAAATGGAACAGAATGAGTCATCTGTAATTCAATCACATAATGTTAGCCCTCATTTATTTGATAATACATTATCAGAGCAAATGTTACATTCATTCTGTATTTCACATGTTAATATCAGATCTATTAATAAGAACTTTGATAATCTAAATTTGTTATATGAAGATACATTAAAAACAAAATTTGATATAATTGCCTTATCAGAAGTGTGGAATGTTTCAAACAAAGGTATTTTAGGTTTAAATGATTATGTCCTTGAGGTAAAGTGTAGAACAGGTGGAACAAGGGGTGGAGGAGTTGGAGCTTACATTCACTCTTCATCTTTTGAAACGCGAACCTTAAACACACTGGCTACCTTTGTTCGCACCATTGATTTGAATGAACTCATATAGACTGAACATTATCTTGCCCTTTTTACAATTTTTACCTTCAATTTGATATTCTATTGGTTATGTTTTAAATAGATATATATATATATATATATTCTTTTTTTTTTATTAAATATTTTTTTATAGTTTTTTTATTGTTGTTTTTTTAAATAGTTTTTTAAACACGATAAATATTATACCCATCCTCTTATTCCTGTCTTGTGTTTTTTTTTTCTTCTTATGTTTACCTTGATGTTTTTTGTGTTATGTTATCGGTTTTACAGTTTTACTCGTATGCTTGTTGTCGTCCTAGTTGAATATCTGCAATCAACTGTCTTATTGCTTGTTTGTTTTGTACTTTAATCTGTTAGAAATTTATTTGTTTAACTATACATGTACATATTCATTGCCTTACTTCTTGCATTTGCAACGTTTTACATATTATTGTATAATTCACTGTATATTTATTGTTATTTTTATGTTTGTGGACCCCTTTGAAAATCAGCTGTGCTGAAAGGGCCATCCACCCTATGAGAGGAAATGAATAAATAAATAAATAAATAAAATTAAAATATGTTATTCTTGACCATGAAGTCACTCACACAGAAAGTCTCTGGTTAGAAACTGACCTGAATGGTAGGAAAATTACTGTAGGTATTATTTATCGTAAGCCCAATACTGATA